ATTGACGTTGCTGACCGTCTCCTTGTCGTCCATGGCCTTGGGCACCTGCTTCACGATGTCCGCATACGAGGAGGAACGATCCAGCTGCACTTTCGAGCCAACCAGCGACTGAAGCCAGCCAAACTCAGCACGTGACCCTGCTCCTGGCCATCGCCGCACTCCCTGCCGCGTGGAGGAACTGGGGGAAAAGGGAGGCAGCCTTGCGGAACATTATGACAGCCAACTACTTTCTGCACGTGGGCCTCCACCGCAATCGTCATCATCTCGGCAAGGACGCGGGCTTGTTGACGATGTGCCGCCTCGGTCTCCTTGGCTTGCCTCTCCCGCAGGAAGTTAGAGTGCTCACTGTCGATCCTGCTCAGCCCCTTGCGTGTGCGTTCGACCACCTGCTCTCGTAGCTCGTCGGAGGAAGGAGACGAGCTGTCGTTGTGCCGGCGTGACCGGCGAGCGCGGTCGTGGTTGTAGCCATCCCAATCGCCCCACTGGTTGTCACTGCGACCACGCCACTGAGAGTCGCTCCGTCCACGACCGCGGTGGTCGCCTTACTGGCCGCGACTGTCATCGCGCTAGTCACTAGTCGCGATAGTCATGCCCCGACATCTGTTCCAGAGTAAGAAGCCTCGGCCACCGTCGAAAATTAGGCCAGACACTCTGAGCCGCCCGCGACTGCGGAAGAACATGGATGAAGGCTCGGAGAAGGTGCGCGGGGTAGCCAAGCACGTACATCTCATACACGAGCTCGAGAAGCCAAACCACCAACACAGCCGTCGGAAGCCGCATCGCACGAGAGCGAGCCATGCGAGCAGCAAACATTCCAAACAATGTTCCGAAGGATTTCTGTCATATACCCGCCCATGGAACAACCATCGACGAACCTTATCACGATTCGCATTTTTTTGGACTATCATGATGTTGTCATACAGCGTGATTGCATGCAGATCCAGCCATACAGTACACTTCCGTTTCCAGATTGCATGTTGGAGGATTCTTAATGTTGTACATAGTTTGTTGATGTGCCGGCACACAGGGTTTGTAATACTCAGTTTTGGTGTTGATGGTCGATGATGTCGTCGACAAAACGGCGAGCTTGAATAGTGATAGACGTTGATAAAGCAGAAGACGACGGAGACGATGTGTGCGATGTCCTTTGAACGAAACCTTCTGACACCAATAGCGTGGGGTTTCGAGCTGCTTCTTCCTCCTGAGCTGCGATCAGTACGCTTTTTGCAACGTCGTTCAGCACTCCTCCGATTGGCAGGCCCTTCAATTCAAATACGCAATCAGCAACCACTGCAAGATCTTGTCAACAATAGGAAACTAGAGCGCGTAGCATATGGTCACAGGAGATATGAAACCAGCCCCAGGGATACATGTGACATTGCAGCACTGCGTCGAAGGCAACAGCGTCGCATCTCATTGGGAAGACAGCGGTGAGCAGACATGAGCGCAGCCGCAGCCTCGCCCACCGTGAATACCTCGCAGCCCAGCTCGCCAATGCGAAGGAAACTGCGGGCAGCACGTCCAATCTGTTGAAAACCTCGGGCACCTCACCTGGCGAGCCGCTGGTATCAACAACCCTCCTGAGGCACGACTGCCTTCGTTTGCCGCGTACGTGAACACCAATGGGCAGGAAGCATTTCTCCTTCACCAAGGGGAAGACCCATGGAGTTCGTGTCGACACTGAGGTCGAAGACAATTGATCTCCGCGAAAGCAACCACGGCGGCAACGCCAAGAAAGTACGCGACCACAACAAAGTCTTCACGCCAGAAATTGAAATATCCGTGCGAAGTAACCAGCCGTCGTCACGTTTAATTGTATCAAGTATGTATCTGATCAAATCGTTGGAATTGGCCAGCCAAGCAGTGCTTTCATCCCTACCACCTGCCAGTAAGACTTCGCCATGACAGGGTAAACTAGACATAGAAAGCAACTCTTCGATTTCGTGCCATTCCACAGGCTTGGCCTCATGATCAGGATAGACTTTGCGCCGATAAACCTGGTAAAGGATTGGGCGCAAAGCATGGACTTGGATTCGCGATTTGCCAGCCCAAAAACGAAGAGAATGTTGAAGACGGCCATGCAGATGCATTGAAGTAGACCACTGCGGAATACGCCAGGCACCTGGGGCACAACGAAGATCGAGTGGTGGTAGCAAAACCCCTTTGGAGACAAAGGAAAGGAATGAGCTTTACGAAATAAGCGCTGAACAATGAAAAAGTTCATCTAAGCGGTTGGCGGTCCCACATTATTCGAAGACGAGGACGATACCACCTTTGAACACAACCCAGCGCGAAAGATGAGACCAATTTATCAAGAGCACGGCGTAGTATGACGCGGTACTCGCCGTGTCACGAGAGAGAGAGAGAGATAGAGAGATAGAGAGCGTAAGATCTAGAGAGAGCGAGCGAGCGCGAGAGAGATAGATGGAGAGAGACAGAAAGAGAGAGAGAGAGAGAGAGAAAGACTTTGGCCACGAGGGGGGAGGGAGAAAGAGGACGG